CCCCCCCCCCAACACCTAGAGAACTCCCGAGGGAAACCTGAGTCTCCGAAGGAACGAAACGTAAAATTGATTCTTTTATGATCGGTAAACGTGCGACCGGGATAACTCTTGGATCCTGACGACGACCTGAAATAGTCGCCGGTGGTTTTCATGGGGGATGAAACGTTCTCGAATTATTCGTCCTTTATTGTTTGTCGTTAAGGATTTTGTTTGAACGCTGCCTTTTTTTCGTTCTCTTATAGGGTTTTTTCTTTTTTCTTGGAAAATGGCCGTTTATTTAAAATTGATGGTTTTTTCTCTTCTTTCTCTTTACAGTACTCTCGCTTAGGAACACACAGGAGGAGGAACCGCCCGATCCCCAGCTCATGAGATTGGACAACATGCTCATCGCCGAGGGCGTCGCCGGACCTGAGAAGGGTGGCGGTGCGGGCGCCGCGGCGTCGGCGTCCGCCGCCGCCGCTGCCGGACCACCTGGACAGCCTGATAACGCGATCGAGCATTCCGATTATCGGGCGAAACTCGCGCAGATCCGACAGATTTATCATCAGGAATTGGAGAAATACGAACAGGTGAGTCGTGTCGTATTGATACACTTTTTTTGTTTTTAACTAATCGATTAATCCGAAAATTGGCAAACGGTGTCACCGTATGTTCGTCTTATTTGTGTGATAACGATCAGCACGTAACAGCTGCTGGTTCTATTTTATTTATTTCTCGTGAATATTCAAGCTTCTTCGCTAATCTCAGGTCGTTGTGTAACTCGAGCGACGCATTTCCATTGGTCGCGAATCGCCTCCATTAACATGCAATCGCGCGTTATTTATCATATATTTATGTATATGGACTGGCATAAAAGCGAGAATAATCATCTGACATTTTTCCGATAAATTTTGTTACGTCATTCTTTTTTTTTTTTAAAGAATTTATTGTTTATGCCTTTTCCCCCTATCTCTTAGCACGCAAATCTGGATTATGTTCCATTAAAAAAATTTTATAGAACATATATAAACACACTGCGTGTCAACGCATAGATAAAGGCGCATCCACATAGACTCACCCCACTAAAAAGATACTCTTGTCGCAGTATGGTCGATCCATGTTCGGGCGTTAATTTCTCGTTGAATTTTTAATTCTCAAATTTTGCTCGATCTGCCTCCTCCCCATATACTCGGTGGCTCCTCGGCTAAGTCGTGCTACACCATAACGGGGCACTGATAAGGAAGGTAATTTCGGTATAGAACGTATTCTTGCTGTACCGGATGAGGACTCGGCGGGCCTTTGATACTATTTGTGTGCAAATGAAGTTACGTGCTTGACTAAATAAAATCTCGCGTGTCAACCTGCCACCACCCCGTATAAAGCAAAGCTCGCAGACTCTTACGTGGGTGTATTCGATATGGGCTTTTTTAAGAATTAAGCAGCTACTTATATATATAGGGTTTCTTGATTAGAAAATAGTATTTGCCTTCATAGCCACTATCTTGGGCGAATTGCATTCAAAGAAAGCAGGCGGATAACCAAACTATTTTTACAGACGGTAACGCGAAGCAGAGCTTATCAATGAAGCCTGAATGTACAGGGTGTCCATAAAAAGTATTGATACAGATTTTCGTTTGTGAAAGTTCAAGGGTTGAGTTGCTCTTGAGATATTTAGTAGGTTTGCGGTTTTGTTCTTTTTTTGCATATTTCTTCCAACCCCTACGCGGAAAAGATAGTCATCTGTACCGGGTGTGCTTTAATTACCGTTCGGGCTTCGGACCCATATTTTATCCTGGTGTCGGCGGTCTTTGTGTTTTCCGTGTTACTGAAACACGCACGTCCCTTAACGCGATCGGGCGTGCATCCCAGGCGTTGAACCATATACATATATATACACGTATATAAGCAGATTGCGTGTCTCTGGTACAGTCGCGAGGGTAGTTGCCCGATAAATGTAGTCATTTAACGTGTTTTAAATCTTTAAAAGGAATATGGGATTTGTTTATATTTCACCCGTCATCAAATCTGTATACAGGTATACCTAGAGATTGAGAAAAAAGAAAAAAAGTGGTTAACCCAGAAAGAAAATAATTTTTTTTCCCACAACCTGTACTTCATATACACCGTCTGGATAAGTGAGCACCTTGGTACAGACTGTTCCAAAATTATCCAAGATCTCTCGAGCGTCATCTTCCTCGCGTAAACAGACATTTAAATCGCGGATAAATCGTTCTCGTAAATATACCAAACGGCCATCCCGATTTACATGCGGGTCTATAAGCGCCGCAGGGGTCAACGTCTGCACGCCTATGCAAAATAGCGTGCGTGGCCGCACGGAAATAACTTTCCTTGAAAATATCAGCGGGAATCGCGTGTTTCAGTCGTCGATATCCCACGGGGTACGACCTGGCACCGTTCGACATTGTGCAGAGAGAGTTGAATATAGCCGAGAGAAATAGAAGAAGTCGAGGCCACCGGATCTTGCTAGGTTTTCCATCCAATCTACCCTCCTTCGACCTTACCCCTCTGACATCTCTCTCTCCTATGTACGCTTTTCCCTCCTAACCATGCCCCCACATCTGCAGAACGGGGATGCTGATCCACCCTCGGCCTCTGGGTACCCGGGCTGGAACGTTACACGGAGAAGCCTGGGGGATGGAATCCATTCCGAAATTGCAAACCATCCCCTGGTCCTACTACCTCCCCCCCCCCCCCCCGCCCCCCCCCCCCCCCCCCCCCCCCCCCCCCCCCCCCCCCCCCCCCCCCCCCCCCCCCCCCCCCCCCCCCCCCCCCCCCCCCCCCCCCCCCCCCCCGGGATTCTCTATCCGACCAGTCTTCCTTTCCCCCCTCTTTTCCCCATCCAGCCGTATCATTCCTCTCCACGAGCTTACTCCTGGTGGGTACCCGGGCTTCCCTCAGGAAAAGCTACAGCGGCACGTTGCCCGTACCGAATACTGATATCCTGGAAAAGTCTTCGTCTCGAACAGCGGGGCTCGCGTAACGTCAGGAATAATGCATTATATCGTACTTCCTGGTGGAAGACCCTCCACGGGAATTTAACGTCCTTCCGTACCTTATATGTATATATATAGCTATTTCCATATGCTTTTATCCTGTTCTTAATGTTTTCTTTTTTTAACCTGTTTCAGGCCTGCAACGAGTTCACTACCCACGTGATGAACCTTCTGCGGGAACAGAGTCGCACCAGGCCTATTACGCCTAAGGAGATCGAGAGGATGGTTCAAATTATACACAAGAAATTCTCGAGCATTCAGATGCAGCTTAAACAGTCGACCTGCGAGGCTGTTATGATACTTAGGAGTCGATTCCTCGACGCCAGGTCTGTACGAACGGCTGTGACGGTTCTTGGAGTTTATTAATTTTTTTTTTTTCCTTCTTCAATTTCGCTTGATTTATATCTTTCACGTATTCCTTGCCTCGCGCCAGACGCAAGAGGAGGAACTTCAGTAAGCAAGCCTCGGAGATTCTCAACGAGTACTTCTACTCGCACCTGAGCAATCCTTATCCCAGCGAAGAGGCCAAGGAGGAGCTTGCACGTAAGTGCGGTATCACCGTGAGTCAGGTGAGTTTTTTGGAATAATATTCTTTTTTTTTTTTTTTTTGGAATTTTTCAAAAATTATTATCTCCGACACCTTCTCACTAATACTCTTCGTTGAAACCAGGTGTCCAATTGGTTTGGGAACAAGAGGATAAGATACAAGAAGAACATAGGCAAGGCCCAAGAAGAGGCGAACCTGTACGCAGCTAAAAAGGCAGCCGGTGAGTTCGGATAGTTTATGAGAAATTCGTTGTGCCCTCAAAACGTTAATGGTTGGTCACGGACACGTCACTATTTTTTTTTTTTTTTTTTAACGAGGACGTCTCAAACGGGCACATTGGAAATTGGCATTGAAAAATACGGATACGAGAAATTTTATCAGTAGCCGGAGTCCATTGGACGCCGATTGCTGTGTTAGCTGGACAGAGAGTGCTCTTTTGAAATTTCTTTTCTTATTTTCTCTCTTTCTCTTTTTTACTTTCGACTGACGTCACTCTTCCTGCGAATTCTGCTTTGTCGAGTTTTTCATGTACATTCCGATAAAGGAATAAGTGACGCTTATCGTGTATACGGCAGAGATTCGACTTTTGTAATGTTCTGCTCTCCTCTCTCTCTCTCTCTCTCTCTCTCTCTCTCTCTCTCTCTCTTGCATTTTCTTTTTCTTTCGTGGTTTTTCTAACGACTCTTTCTCAGCATCTATTTTATCCTGGACCATGTGAAAAAAGAAAACTGTCAATTCGCGACGTTGTTGGTAGACCCGGCTGACTTTTCGGCGAGCGTCGTTTTTGTGTTTCCTTTGTTTTTCTCTTACCTCTTTCTTTCTTACAGTTTGCCCGCCTCGCTGACGCGCGCAATCACGTTTCTGCGCATGCGCGCGCGACACGCTTAAAACCTTTACGAGGATGAAATTGCACGTGGCAGCGGTTCTCATTACTGTAAATCACTATGGAATGAGTTACCGTTCATTGTTCTACGCCGGGCACTGCATTATTGTTGGTTGTCAATAAATCTTAACGCCGTATACGACGTCCGACCCCGGTACGAGAGATTTTGTCGCGCGAAACGTGGAGATACGCCAATTCGTACGAGGTTTTTTTTCTGTAGTCATATTTTTTTACTTTTTTTTTTTGCTTCCTATCTACGTTCTCCACGTCTACATTCCTTTCTCTGGCAGATTATATATATATATATATATATATATATATATATATATATACACGTAGATCGCGGCACGGAGCTTCCCCTGAATTTCTCACGAAATATCGTCGGCTAAATTCCATCACGAATGGCATCTCTTGCCCGTGTGATTCTCCTGCACTTATCCTGCAAGGCGTAACCTGATCCCGATTGTAATTATAAATTCTTGCCGCCGCGACGCGTCGTATCTTCTTAACGAGGAGCGCGTTTCTTTATTTTCGAGACGAGACTCTGATATTTTTAACTTACCAATTACATCCTGGTGCCCGTTTACGGTATGAATGTTCAGAGGGGAGCGAGACTCTGCGATGGCGCCACTTATTCTCTTTACACTCGCTCTGTCGTTCTTCTCTTCTTTTTTTTTTTTTTTTAATGTAATTTTAATTCTTCTATTATTTACCTTTTGTTCGTCGACTTTGTACCTTAAAGAAACGTATGCCACGTGGAAGTCACGGCTTTCGACGTGGAACCGTCGGAATGGATTTTCTCTTTCCCTCGCGTACTCTTGACGTAGGAAAAAAAAGAGAAAAAAAAAAACATGTCAACCAAGAATTCTCAACGAATCAATCTGCAATCGGTTAACGTATACGTCCGATATAGTCCATTCGCGTTAACTCTCGCGCGACCGAAATTCGAAATCGCCTCCCTTCCACGGCCGGTGTGCGTTGACTTTAAAAACCGTCGAATTTTGTATGCACCGCGATTGTTTCTACAGCAGCTTTTGCAGGAGCGTCGCCGTACAGTATGGGCGGTGCCAGTCAGGGCACCCCGACGCCTATGATGTCTCCCGCACCCCCAGGTGGACCCCAGGACATGGCTGGCTACGGCATGGGAATAAACGGCAGCGACTATGGCTCTCAACCGTACAACGACGGTTCCATGGGCTACGACCCCATGCACCAGGTAAACGCATTAACCGGACGATAAAAGACCATCCTAGCTATACGTATATACGTCATAGTCGTATTAATTGCATTTTGTACTTCCCAGCTCGCTTGCCTCTCCCGTCCGACGAGTCATATTTTGGAAATACTACTTCGGCCGCGTATAACTCCCGCTCGTGAAACGTTTCACGCCGTGACGATAATAAGATACTCCAAGTTTTACGCGGACCGAGCAGAGGCGTCATACCGGATCGCCCGGAGTGGCATTTCCAAAATATGCTTTGTGGCTTTTTTTTTTTCCCCACTTGCAAGATTGCACGAAGCATCTCTGTGCATGTACTACTACTGCTACTGAAGGTTTATCTAAATTTTTTTTTTATCTTTCACCTACAACCATACCTTTCCCAAGATTTCTTGGAGTATGTTTCTCTGTTACACGTTATTTGTCTCTCTTGTTCTTTCTCTCTCTCTCTCTCTCCCTACTTTCGTCTCACATACTCTCTCAACCTGTGTCTGCATAGAGGATAAACGTCGCCTAGGAAAATTCAGTAGAGCTCTCTCCTAGAGTATTACGCATATACGTGGGTCCTAGTGCTGCTGCCACCGTTGAGTATCTGGGTTGCGTAAATCCACGTATCCGTGTAACACGTATTACACTCGTGGTGCGGATGCTGCGTAGGAGAGTGGGGGGATGGAGAGAGACACAGATAATGTAAACGTTTGCGCGCGCACTCGATACTCTACCTAGAAGCCAGAGTTGAGCGTTACTGAATATATGGGGGATATCTTGTCAGAGGATATGGCTGTTGTTGCGCCATAAAGATGGGCTTTAGCTATGGGAGTTTAGGGGTGCCAGGTATGGCTAAGGTTGTAAGAAGCTTCTAGAAGGTTCCAAGAGATGTCGCTGCTGCTCTCCTATCTTCTCTTCCTAGTTGACTAGTAGCTGGCGTCGGGTCAATTAGTATGCATTGGAGTTGCAAAGTCACTTTTTAGGCGGGGGCTGCCCTCTCACATATTAATTGAGTTCGGTGTAACGTATCTACGTTCCTTCTTCAACCCCTTCGCCACTTACCGTGGGTGAGTGGGTGGGTGTAACGAATTGAAGAAAAACATGGCGTCGCGATTATTGCGTATGACGAAAATTTTTAATCCTTACCAATTGAGAACGTTCGTGATTTGACGTGTGACAGCATTTTTTTTCAAGCTATCAGGAATTTTAATCATATTTCAAATCGCCCGCGCAGCTCCGGTCACTGGGTCACGTGTGTTACCTTTTGACGTCACGCGCCGCCTATATAACGAATTTGGCCAATGAACCAATTAAAATGCATATCCGACTGTACGCGCCCGATTTTTATGATCTTTTCGTGATACCTCGATGAGCATTTTTTGATGGATCTTGTTACTCGAAATTGGCATAACTTTTTTTTTAAAGTGAATTACGTTTTTTTTTTTAACCATTGCACGGTGTTAGGTTAGGTCAGCAGCTGGTCGATCAATTATGGGAATTTTGAATTTTCGCTTGACAGTTCGTTGTGTAGTTTCTCATTAAAGGCCACTAACGTTCTCCCTTTTGCGTAACAATTATTATCGCTTGCACTCTTATCAGCACACACGAATTCCGCATTTGGCGTCGATCGTAACAGTCCGATCTAACCTAACACCATTTTCTTGTACCTTCGTTATTATTTATCTTGTTTTCATTCCTCGTGAATCTTCTCCTGTGGAATTTATCTTTTGATTATTTTACCCGATTTTTTCTCTCACATGCGTTAAAAAAAACACACACTCACCTGCTGGTTGGTTTATCGAACGTCTAACAAATGAACTGTGTTTGTTGCAACGGGGATGCGTGAGTAACACGAGACACCGTGATTGCTTTTTATTTCCTCACACGTGTTTTTCATCCTTGAGCATCTTCGGCGTGCAGTTGTCAAAGATGCACCGGAAACTTTGAAATGCATTTTTCAGGATCTTCTCGATATTGTATTATCGTCTTTATCTCATTGTCTTGTCATCTCACTCTCGAGTCCACTTGATTGTGCGATTGTTGTTATTGTTGCGCCTGACGCGATCAAACATAGACACACGCGGTCGTACGTGTTGTCGAACGAGTTTTGCTCGGTTCAAGATCAGCCCAAAAAAATAACTAAAAAATAAAAAACTTTTTTCTGGGGGAAAGAAAAAAAGGAAAAGTCGACAGCGTTGTTCAACGCATTGTCACAAGCACAGTTCGCACGGTCTCGCACTTATTTTTCTGTCTATTGTACATATATATATATATATATATTTCAAAAAAATATATATATCATATAACGTAGCTTACACCTCAGCACGATTATTATGATTGTTATCATTGATCCCAGAAAGAATTTGCTAGAGACAATTTGAGTGATAAAAATATATAACAATGCATTGTTGTCATATGATAGTAATCAAGAGACACAAGTGTCCGTGAAAGTAAAAGAGAGCTTAACGATAACGAGGCACAATTAATATTCGAGAAAAAAAAATTATTTTTTTTTAATTTTCGATTCTTCACCACGGTCACTAAACGTCAGTCTTTCCTTGTTTTCGTATTTTTACAGTGACGCGACGCAGCATAAAGTAGTCGGCGATCTAGAGTGAAGGTCCCCCCTCCCCCTCCCACCCCCAAGCCAGGATCTTCTCCGTTGCAACAAGCACAAGTTTCAGACTGTACTAAAGACCTGAATTTGAGACTATTTTGTAAAAAAAAAAAAAAAAAATATGCATAGCCGGACAAACGTTTTGCGGTATAACGAACCAAGATTTGAGCTCTACGTCGTGACGCTCTAGAGTGCAATAACAAAAGGGATGGGAATATATATGTATTATTATTATTATTATTATTATTATTATTATTATTATTATTATTATTATTATTAACATTGCTAATCTAAATCCAATAGAGATTAGTGATAACGGAAGAATTTTCAAGGTCGTTATCTGTTGTGCCTTTATTCGTTGAAATTTTGAAATTTACGATTTTCTCGAAGTTTCCCCATTGTTGAGGATTTTTGCAATTTTTTTTTGCAATTTTTTTTTGAAAAAATTGCGGAGCTTACAAGTATACGGATTTTTTTTTTTCGGATGACTCAGTCGATACGTGGAAACGACCTTGGGACATCTCCTAGTATAGGATTAATGAAAAGAAAAAAGTGCAATAAGAATTTTGACAGTGGGACATAATTAATTAATACGTAGACTTTTTAGCGGTAAAAAACGGAACGGGGTCTAAAGCGTGCGAATGTGCTGGGGAAGAGTGTCTCTAGAGCTTAAGAGATTTTTCATCGTTGTTAATGTTGTTTTTACGTTGCGCTTGAGAGAATAGGCAGCTAATTGTTCATTATAGAGATTCTCAGTGGTATGATTATTTTCTTCTTGTAAATACCTTTTAAGACGTAAATACGTTTTTACATCGCTCACATGGCTTTCGATACTTAAACTTTTAGTGGTATTTTATGATTTTTTGTTCAGTTTTTTTTTTTTAGAGACTTATCTATAATTTTTTATATATATATATATATCTATTGTTATTCACACTACACATACATAATACACACGATTTGTCTGTGCGGCGGTCGTTTTATGGTAGGATACCTTTGTGACTTTTCGCCTCTACCGTGGCGCATGCATGGCTGCACGTAGGAAAATGTTGAAAATGTCGCGGCGAAAGCGAAGAGTTTGTGGAGACACGGGTCTGTTTCCGAAAAAGTCCGCTAGAGCGTACGCGCGGCGCTACGGTCGAAGTTTGACTCGCTTCGTAATTTTAGATCGAAATTACGCAATTGTTGGTAAGGGGATAGTGTCTTGGTGAAATGTGGCGGATACCATGGGAATGAACGAGAGAGAGTACGAAAGAGTAAAAAAGAAAGGTCTTTCCTTTGGCAATAACTACGTAGTTCAGTAGATGGCATATTTACTATACTTAGATGCATGGAGACAAAGGACCCATTAAAATTGTTGGGATTTCAGTTGATCGTACGTTGTCGCAACACAATTGTCGTTGTCGCAACACGTTGTCAAGTTATCTGAAGTGAAATATCACAAAATGAAACAAGTCAGCGTACGATCAAATAAATTAGATCGCGATAGTCGGCTGGATCATTAATCACGGCTCCTTGTGCTTCGATGAAAAATGTAAAACATGGATTATACATATATACATATATTATCATTCGTTATCAAATTTTTTGTATTCGCGTCATGCTAGAAACAAATCTTTACATTCACACTGTCTTTGCTCATGTTTTGCTTTTGCGCCTATTCGCCATCGTCAGACACGTTTTAAATGACAGAGTGGTGATATAAAAAAAAAATTATTTTTACAACAAAAAAATCATTACGTACATTGACTGACCGACGACCGAGACGTTTATTTCGTTATGTCTTATTGTGATTCACGTAGTTGAGACGGCCATATTGTTTTTCGTACAGTTGACAAGTAGCACTTTTTCGTCAATCCAGGGTATAAAGACAGAAGGGTATATCATTGAAAAATACAAAATGACGCAGGGCAAGGCTATGACTGGGGGGCCAGGCGCAGGCTGGATGCAACAGCGCGAGGCAGTGCCCGAATTTCCGCCACTCCACGATTCAGCGGATTCCGATTCTGACCGGGAAAATGAAAAACGACCTCGCGTCTAAAAGCGGCCATTACTCACCACCCAGTACGAACCCTCCCGTATAACACGACACCGTCATCACCACCACCACAACCATCAACAATTACTACAATTTTGCCACAAGAACCACGTACACAAAGGGCTTTCGTGATTCTCTCGAAGGAGATAAAAAGAAAAAAAAAGAGAGAAAGAGAGAGTCAGTAAAAGTGAGTGTGAGAGAGAGAGAGAGAGATCTACGTGAAATTTTTTTTTTCGATTTTTTTCTCTCTCCTTTTTTTTAGTTATACATCTCTTAGCTGTTAGTGTTAAAAAAAAAAATATATATATATGATAAACACGCTCGACGGGACCTAAGCAGGGAAAGAGAGAAAAAAAAGAAAACGACGACGGTTGCTGTGCCTAATAAAATTATTTTGAAAAAAATAAAAATAAAATTTGTAAAAATTCAACCATGTCCAGGGTGAGTTGTCAAACAGATGAGGTCCCGTCGGACGCGTTTACGTGGACAATAATGCGAATTAATTGTTTGACGCGTAGGGACATCTCTTATTGTATTATGCAATTTATTGTGCGATTGTCTAAACTCACGGCGCTATTGTCATTTCTGCACATTCGTACGACTATTGTACTGTTATCGTTGCGTAACGCGTGACACGTGATTTTGGAAAAATTTCAAATCTTTTTTTTTTTAAAACGTAAACTACGTGTCGATAAACACGGACGTATATATATATATCATTACTGCTACTACCAACACACTACATATGCACAAGGCGAAGACAGATTCCCATACACACTCAATGCGCTACAGTGCGTGCGATAGTTGCGATTTTTTTTTTTTTTTTTTTTT